CCTCCTCCTGCTGCTGCTGTGGGGGTGCTGGGATGGGGACAGTGCCCCCGTGGCTCCCCAGGGCCACGGGCAGCCGGGCTTTGCCCGCACTGGCGCTCGTGTGCCGGGTGGTGCCTGCGGCCCCAAGCCTGTCCTGCTTCTCTCATCTGCATCTTGGCTTTGCCCAGCAGCTTAACAGGAGCTTCCTGGGGGCGAGTCACTGTTTTCCCAATCTCTTTCATCCTTGTCCCTTTTTGCACCCTTCATGTGCTGGGAAGTCTCCAGTTCTTTTGACCAGAGTGCCCACGGTGTCTGCAGCTTCTATTCCTGAGGTCCCTGCTCATTTGCCACATCCAGAGTGTGCAAATGTGCTGAGACTGGGGAATTCGGTTGTGTGTGTCAGGACATTGCGGTGCTCTGGGGTGTCCCGAGCTCCGCAGCTCCCGCGGGTCCCTGGGTGGCGCCAGCAGCAGCTCCTGTTCCTGGCAGGAGCTCTGTGGCTGTCACTCATCGGAGCCCCGCGGGACCCAGAGCTGCGGCCGTCGGGACCCTGCAGCCCTGGTGCTGCAGGTGCCCCAACTGAACGCTCTGGCCCGGAGCTTATGCCCTGCGGGCGGTGTGAGGCTGCTGGCCGGCCTGGCCACCCGCCTGGCCCGGGCCGAGAGCTCTGCTTTTTGGTTATTCGCTTGATTGCTGCTTTTGTGCCTCCCTATGTCAGGGGAGGAGAACATTTCCCTGAGGATGCATGAGCAGAGCCCTGCTCCCTGATCCGGGTGCACTGCTGCACCTTGGAAAGGATAGAAGAGGTAAAGCAGCACTTTTTTCCCTTTCTCGTTTGCAGAAGAGCCCGAGCCCAATTGTGGGTTCCTGGCTTGGTCCCTGGGGCACAGAGCTGCCCCGCTCCCCCCTTTGCCCTTCCCCAGCCGTGCCCCGCTCTGCTCCCAGGTCCAGGAGTGCTGGGTGGCCAGCGCCACCGCGGAGGAGCTGCCGCGCCGTGAGCTGCTTCCTAAGGTTAACTGCGAGCCGCTTCCTAAGGTTAACTGGTTAGCCGGGGGCCTCAGCAGCCTGGGGAGGGGGCGCGTTCCCATGGGATCCGCGGATCGGTTGCCTCCCGCCCAGCTGTGGGGCGGAGCGTGGCCGGGATGGGCGCAGAGTGGCCACAGCCCTGGCAGGACGGGATGCTCCAGACGCCGGCTCTGCCCTCAGATTCGGCCACGTCCCCAGCTGCCGTCTGCGCCCGGGAGCGCTCCGAGCTCGGGGCTAAATTTAGCCCCGTGGCCCCTGCGCTCCGCTTGCAGATGGCTGTAAAACACCCACTGCCGGGGCGCAGAGCTCCGCCAAGCCCAGAGGGCTCCTTGTGATTATGGTTCAACTGCCACTGCCCTGAGCAGTGACGTCTGTGCTCGAGGCCACTGACCTGTGCAGGTTCAGCCCGTCAGGCTTTGCAAGAAGCTCTTCCAGGGCCCTGGTCCTGGAGAGCTGCCTCCTGGCCAGCCTTACCCGCCGGGCAGCAGCTCACCCTGCGGCCCCAGCCCCCTGTGCATGGCCCTTGGGCAGTGGCAGGGGCCCCTCGCGGTCGTTTTTTTTCGGGTGTCTGCAGCCGCGGGGCCCATGCCGACCTGCTGCAGCGCCAGTGGGGAAGTCACCACTTGCTGTGGTCGCTGCCGGGGTCGGGACCGGCCTCACGAGGCACTTGTGTGTTGTTTGTGCTCCGTGGGGCCTCGGGGGATCCGCTCCGAGCGCGCGGGATGTCGCGTTGCTGTGCGAGCTGTAGAGGCCTCTCTAGAAAACAAGAGCTTTGCCAGGGAGCCCGGCAGATGCTTTGCACAT